CTATTTTTAGTAGAGACGGGGCCTCGTTCAGGCTGGTTTCGAGCTCCTGACCTCGAGCAATCCTCCTACCTCGGCCTCCCAGAATGCTAGGATTACAGGAGTGAGCCACCACACCTGGCCTGGCTGTCAGCATTTTAAACAGGTAAAGTTAGCATCATTAGTAGTGGTACTACTGATAGTATATGTGATAGGAAGAACACAAGATCACCTGTGTAGTATTATTGCCAAAAATTAACCTGAATCTAGCCAAGTTGTTAGATCTAACATCTAGTACCAAATGCTGAAGAGTGTGGAGTATACTGAATTAGATATTAAGATATATTATAACAGAGTAATAATTGTAAAGTATTGTATTGGTACAGGAATAGACCCCCGATGGAATAAGAAAGAGAACCAGATCTATGCATACATGTAAACTTGAAATATAACAAAAATGAATTTTCAGATCATGGTGGATAAATGAATTTTCAATAAGTGGCTATGGGATAATTGGTTACACATACATAAAAGATTAAATTGGACCCCTATCTCATACCATATACAAAAATGAATTCTACAATGAAAATATACTTAAATGCGAAAAACAAAACTTTAAAAATTTAGAAGAAAATATAAACTATTTTTATAACTTTCAGTTAAGGATACATTTTAAAACAAGGTATGGAAAGCATTCAAATAAAATATTAACAAACTCACTATATTAAAATTAATAACTTAATAAAAGACAAGTCAAAAATTATTTAACCTATTCGTAGCACATAAAAACCAACAAAGCATTAATATTAAGACTACTTTAAGATGTCCTGTGGGAATCAAAAAGCAAAGACAAACCCAATGGGAAAATGGGGACAAAAATAAAAAGAGAGAAAATAGGAATAGCAAGGAAAAACAAAACAAAACATGAAAAGATGCTCAACTTCTAAAGTAACCAGGAAGATGCCAATTATGACCATAAAAAGATACTTTTTTACACTGATCAGGGTGCAAAAAAATATCTGACAATACCAGATGCTGGTGAAAATATGAAGCCCTGGAAGTTATTTAGTAAACATCTCAGGTGTAAGTGTACATTGGGACAACCACTTGAGAATAAAATGTCTTGTATTTTTTAGTAAAGTTGAACAGGCATATACCCTAAATCTCAGCAATCCACTCCTAGTCCATATGTGCACCATGAGGCTTATTCCAGAATTATTGGAGCAGTATTGGGCATAGTAGAAAAAGAAGAACTGAAAAACAACTCCAAAATATTTTTGCAGAAGAATGGATATATGCATTTGACGTAGTCACACAATACAGTATTATGCAGCAGAAAAAGTTAATGAACTAGAATTACACATATAACATGGATGAATATTAAAAACATGTTGAATGAAAAATTGAATTGTGGAAGATTACAGCATAATACTTTTCAAAAATTGCAGTGTACTTCACATGTAATAAAATGCATTATTCGACTTATAAGTTATGTAATTACCTGCACAATCAAAACATAGAGCAGTTCCATTGTCCTCCAAAATTCCCTTGTGTTCTTTTGGAGTCATCCCGTCCTTTCAACCACATGCTTTGGTAAATACTGCCCTGTTTTCTGTTCCTATAATGTAATGTTACCCTTTCCAGAATGTAATCTAAATGTCATCATATGTGATGTAACCTTTTGAGTCTGGTTTCCTTCACTTAGCATAATGCTTTTGAGGGAAATCCATGTTGTTTTCAGTAATTTATTTCTTTTTATTGTTAGCTAATATTCCACTGTATGGATATGCCACAGTTTATTCATGTACCAGTTGAAAAGCATTTGAGTTGCTTCTAAATTTTGACAACTATGAATAAACCTGCTATAAACATTTACATACAGATTTTTGTGTTAACCAGTTTTCTTTACTCCTGGGCAATTATCTGAGCTCAGGTTTTCTAAGTTGTATGCTAAATATATGAGTAACTTTGTACAAAACTGCCAAACTGCTTTCCCAAGTGACTGTGTCATTTTGCCTTTCTACCAACAATGTATAAATTGGTATTGATCCATGTCCTTACCAGCACTTGGTATTTTCAGGTTTTATAACTTTTATGTTTACTTTAGTCATCCTAGTAGGTGTGCACGGGGGTAAGTTATTTGATTTTAATTACATTTCCATAATGATTAATGTTGTATGAGCATATTTTCACATGCTTAATTATTATTTGTATACCAATTTTAATGAAGTCTCTGTTCAAATTTTTTGTCCACTTTTTAATTAGTTTTTTGCCGAGCTGATAAAACTGAACAGAGAGGTAGCAATAGACAGATAAGTAGACAGAGACAAATTATTGATATCTGAAGTTAAAGACAGGAGATAATTCAGATTCCACAAGTATAAAAATGATAAGAAATATTGTGAACAACTTTATACTAATAACTTCAGTGACTTAAATGAAATGGGCAAATGCCTTGAAAGATAATATCTTATTAAAATAGTGACAAGAAGAAATAGAAAGTTTTAAAGATCTATATATTCTCTTAAAGAAATTGAATGCCTAATTACAATCTTTCCCACAAAAACACTCCAGACACAGATAGCTTCATGGACAAATTCTACTGAAAAACTAATTAAGAAATAATGTCAACTTACACACTCTTTCTGAAAACAGAGAACGAAAGAATACCTACCAACTAATTTTAAAATGTCAGCACTATCCTGATATCAAAATCAGATAAAAATATTACAAAATAAAAGCGATGAATAATGCTAGTGAGCATATATACAAAAATCTTTAACAACATATTAGTAAGTTAAACCAGCAATACATAAAAAGAATGCTACATCATAGCCAAATGAGGCTTATCCCAGGAATGCTAGTTGGTTTGACACATGAAAATCCAATATTATAATTTGTCATATTGTTATGATTTGGCTATTTGACCCTCTAAACCTCATGCTGGAAATCTTATCCTCAGTGTTGGAGGTGGGGCCTGATGACAAGTGCTTGGGTCATGGGGGCGGGGTGAACTCTCAGGAATACTTTGGTGCTGTCTTTGCAGTAATGACTGAGTTCCCACTCTATTAGCTCCTGCTAGAGCTGGTTGTTAATAAAGGCCTAGCACCTCCCCCCACTTTGCCTCTTCTCTCACCATGTGATCTTTGTGCATGCCATTTCCCCTGCCCCTTCTACCATGAGTGGAAGCAGTCTGAAGCCCTCATGAAAAGCAGATGCTGGCACCATTGTTATTGTACAGCCTGCAGAACTGTGAGCCAAATAAACCTCTTTTCTTTAATATAAATTACCTAGCCTCTGGTATACTTTTATAGCAACACAAATGGACTAAGACAAATATCAACACCATAAAGGTGAAAAATCATATGATCAGCTCAATAGAGGCAGCAAATCAATATGACAGAATTCATGATTTGTAAAAGCTATCAGCAAATTAAGAATAGAAGGTGACTTCCTCACTCAAATAAATATATATGTATATATGAGGGTTTATTTCTAGGCTGTCTTCTGTTCAAGAGTTTATATATCTTCTTTATACTGTTTTAATTACCATAACTTTGCAATATATTTCAAAGGCAGAAAATGTGATACTTCCATCTTTCTTCTTCTTTTTCCAGATTGTTTTGGATATTTGGAGTCTTTTGTGGTTCCATATGAACTTTAGATTTTTTATGTATTTCTATAAAAAGAATGCCAATGGATTTTGATAGAGAAAGCATTGAATATGTAAATTGTTTTGGTTAGTATGGACATTTTAACAATGTAAAATCTTTAATCCATAAACAAGGAATGTCTTTCCACTATTTTTCTTCTTTCTTTCATCAATGTTTCATAGTATTTAGTAAGCAAATCTTTCATCTCCTTGTTTAAGTTTATTCCTAGTACTTTATTGTTTTAGATGCTATTATAAATGATATTATTTTTGTAATTTCCTTTTCCAATAATTCATTGTTAGTGCAACTGATTTTTGCATGTTGACTTTGTATTCCTCAACTTTCCTTAATTCTTTTATTCGTTCTAACAATTTTGTGTGTGTGTGTGTGTGTGTGTGTGTGTAGTCTAGCACTTTCTACATATTACATTATGTCCTCTACAAACAGAGAAAATGTAACTTCTTTCTTTTTGATTTGATTTGGATGCCTTTTATGTCTTTCTATTGCCTAATTGTTCTGGCTAATACTTCCAGTACTATATTTTATAGAAGTGGCAAGAGTGGGCATCCTTGTCTTGTTCCTGATCTAAGAAGAAAAGCTTTCAATATTTCAACACTTAGTATGTTTCCTGTGGGCTTTTTATATATATTCATTATTGTGTTAATTTTCTTCTATTCCTAGTCTGTTGAGAGTTTTTATTGTGAAGTATTATATTTTGCCAAATGCTTTTTCTGCATCTTTTGAGATAATCACATGTTTTTTATCCTCACTCTGTTCATGGCTTATCACATTAATTGATTTTCATATGTTGAACCTTTCATGCATCCCAGGGATAAATCTCACTTGGCCACAATGTATGATCTTTTTAATGTGCTAGTGAGTTTTGTTTTGTTATTATTTTGTGGTGGAGTTTTGCATATATGTTCATCATGGATATTGGCCTGTAATTTTCTCTTTTTATAGTGTTCATGTCTGGCTTTGGTATCAGTGTAATGCCAAACTCATTAAATGAGTTTGAGAATGTTGTCTTTTAAATTTTTTGAAAGATCTTGAGAAGGATTGGCATTAATTCTTTTTTAAATGTTTGGTAGAAATCACTAGTGAAACCATCTTGCCCTTGGTTTTCCTTTTTGGGGAGTTTTTGATTACTTTTTCAATATCCAATCTCCTTACTAATTATAAGTTTGTTCAGATTTTCTATTTCTTCATGATTCAGTCTTGGTAAGTTGTATGTTTCTAGGAATTTAATCATTTCTTCTAGGTTATCCAATTTTTTGGCATATAATTGCTCATAGTAGTCTCGTGATCCTTTTTATTTCTGTAGCATCAGTTGTAATGTCTTCTCTTTCATTTTTGATATTTTTATTTGAGTCCTTTAACTTCTTTTCTTAGTCTAGCTAAATATTTGTTAATTTTGTTTAACCTTCTGAAAAATCAGCTCTTAGTTTTATTGATTTTCTATCCTATTATTTTTCTGTTTTGTTTATTTTTTTGTCCTCATTTTTATTATTTCTTTTTTTCTGCTAACTTTGAACTTAGTTCAAATAAATTAGTTCTTCTTTTTCTAGTTCTTTGAGGTGTCTAGATTGTTGAGATATTTCTTCTTTTTTAATATAGGCATTTATCACTATAAACTTTCCTCTTTGTACTATTTGACGCATCCCATAAGTTTTGGTATGCTGTGTTCTTGATTCCATTTGTCTCAGGAAATTTTCTAATTTCCTTTTTTATTTCTTCTTTGACCCAATAGTTATTCAAGAGTGTTTTATTTAATTTCTACATATCAGTGAATTTTCCAGTTTTCCTTCTACTATTCATTTCTTCTATTCATTCCATTGTGGTCAGAAAAGATAGTTGGCATGATTTTTTTATCTTCTTAAGTTTGTTAAGACTTGTTTTTTGACCTAACATAATATCTATTCTGGAGTATGTTCCATGTGCACTTGAGAAGAATACATTCTGCTGCTGTTGAGCTGAATGTTCTGTATGGTGGTGGTTAGGCCAATTTGGTCTATAGTGTTGTTTAAGTCTGCTGTTACCTTATTGATTTTCTGTCTGAAGGTTCTATCCATTAGTAAAAGATAAATATTGAAGTCTCCTTTATCATTGTACTATCATCTATTTCTCCTTCAGTTCTGTCAGTATTTGCTTTCTATATTTAGGTGCTCTAATATTGGATGCATGTATTTATAGTTGTTATATCTTCCTGGTGAATTGACCCCTTTATAACTATGTAATGTTCTTTGTTGTCTCTATTGACAAGTTTGGACATAAGTCCAGTTTGCCTAATGTAAGTATAGCCACCCCTGCTTTCTTTGAGTAACCATTTGCATGGTATATTTTTCTAATCTATTTCTAATATTTCTAATATATTTTTCTAATCCTTCACTTTCAGCCTATGTGTATCCTTAAATCTAAAGTGAGTGTAATTGAATTTTGATTATAGATTGGATGACTCAATATTGTTAGAATGTCAATTTCTCCAAATTTATCAGATCATTCCAACATCAGTGTCATCTTAGTGTTTGTTGATTATTTCAAATTGAGATTTTCCTGGTTCTTGTTATGAAGCATTATTTTT